CATTTCTTAGTACAGCTCCCATGTAAAGCAAAATTAAACAGGTTTCTGTAGAAATATGTATTAGAAGGGGGGAAGTAAGAGCAAATAAGAGAATTTAAATATAAAATATATATATATATATAAAGTTGGGAAGCGTTTAACATGTTAGTATATAAACCTCTAAAAAAAAAAATAATCCTTGCGAATGAATGAGAAGTTAAAGAGGTTTCTAAATGGAGGAATATCATGGTTACAATTCATGTAAAAAAAAGAAAGAGGTACAAATTGTTACTCATTTATCTAACATAACAAAAATACAAGGGTATTTCGTGTTATTTATACTGCACATAATCTTATAAAGGATATTGCATACGAATATTTATGAAAAGGGGGTATAATAGGATCATAATACTAACATCAACCTTAGCATTATTACACTTAAAAATTAATCCTAACAACATGGGAAACAACAATGATACCAAAATTTATGAAAATAGTACTACTGCTAATAAATAAAATCAATGAAGTACTTATAATATAGGATGCAGAACAGATGAAAATTCCCCAAAGAATAATGAAATAATAAATAATGATACTAATAAAAAAAAACATTAGCAGTAGTAATATAGGTCAATATATAGGCTACAAAAATTACGACAGTATTATTTGAACGATTCTACTTAGCTCACAATATGTGTATTAATAAGGGTATGTGCATATATAAATATATCTATATATAAGGTACGTATATGTGTCTGCGTAATATATATAATGACAACATAAACATGTTTTGTAGATGTGTATGCATGTATATGTATACATACAGTGCATGTGTACATATATATGGTTGTGTTCGTGTACATATATACATATAAATATATATATATGTATGTCTCTATATATGTATACATAATATATATAAACTCAAAGAAATAATCTATAAACTAATAGTGTGAGCTAAGCAACCGTGTCCACTGATGGATTACAAGATAAAAATAATTTGCATTCGCCTTCACAGCTGCTCAGTGTACGAGTCTCCTATAAAACATTATACAAAGATCAGTCATTATTATTAACCTCATTGTTGTTATGGTTGTTATCATTAGTGTTAATATAAAATTATCACTAACAAATATCTTATCTTACCATTTATATCATGCTTTAAAAATTGTACTATTTATTCTTCTACTTACAAAATATAGACGTACATATTAAAAGGCTATGAATACTTGGGATATGTGACTTACGACATTATCTGCATACGACTTGGGACTAAATATATATATGCACAATGTTTATGCTATAAAGACCTCCTAAAATCAAAGTAGTCTACTGTTTCCCCTTTCAGCATTCCTATGTAACATAATAGGTCTGAAGTTATATACAGGCATGTTTAACATAGGTTAAGACTCACTGAAGCAAACAAACAGAAAACGTAAAAAATTTATTTATTTGTAAAAATTTCTCCAAAACCTTTGCTAAGTCTAAAAGCCGATCCAATCCGTCCGATACAAATGAAGAACAGACTTTACTTTTCTTCACTGGCATCGGCATCATCTTCAATCACTTCCTCTTCTTTGGGAGCTTCCTCCTCCTTACTTGCTTTCTTTGTTTTCTTGTGACTGATCCTCGGTGGTGGTTGAGACTTACACAATTTGAATGTTCCCTTGACTCCAGAACCGATCAAGTGTTGGAGTGTTCCATCTTCTAAGAATCTTCGTATGGTCTTGTTGATATAAACAGCCTTCTTTTGGGGATCAATCCCATTGTTTTCCTTCAGGTACTTCCTCACAGCTTGCAGAGTAGATCCCTTGCGATTATCCAGGGCCTTGAAAGCTTCAAAAACAAGGTCCGAGAAGCTGGGTGCAATCACATCTTCCTTCTGCAACCTGAAACGTCCTTTAGCTCCCGTTCCGACAACTTGGCGGAATTTCCCCTCTTGAGTCAGGGCTCTGATAGCATTATTGATGTGAACAGCCTTCTTCTTTGGATCGACACCTTTGTTCTCCTTCAGGTACTTCTTGATATCCTGGAGAGAACATCCCTTTCGGTTATCCAGAGCCTCCAGGGCTGCCAGCACATGTTTGGAGAACTTCAGAGAGCTTGAATTTCCATGCTTGAACTTCTGACTGTTGGCCAACTTGAAGCTTCCTCTGGCGCCTTTGCCAATTACGTGTAGAATAACCCCGTTGTCAGTCATGTTCTTGATTACCTTATTAATGTAAACAGATTTCTTCCGGGCGTCAATGTTATTGTTTTCCTTCAGGTACTTCTTGACTGCCTGAAGGGAAGTTCCTTTGCGGTTATCGAGAGCTTCAAACGCAGCTTGAACGAGTTCGGCAAATTTAACCGGATTAGAGTTGCCTTTGGCTGCTTTTGTCGTACCCTTGGCAACCTTTGAAGGGCCTTTAGCTGCAACCTTATTTTTGGATCCCTTAGGCCGGCCACGCTTCTTAGGACCAGTCGATGTCCTTGGAGCTTTCTTGGACTTGGCAACAGGAGCCATGTTGATGGTCTTCTGAGGCAGAGGTTGGTGATCACAAGATTCCTGGTCTTTCGTGAGGATAGTTACGTCTCTCACAACGCCCACCTACCCTAGTTCCTCAGGCGCTGTCGACCTCGTTAGAAGAGTAGGCTACGGGATGATTCATTCTGAAATAGTAATTAACATTCTATTAATAATAATTATACTTATATATGAAATCAAGAAAAATAAATAACAATAGTATAGATAACAATTACAATATCACCAGCGCCAATAAAAAATAAAATAAAATGAAAGAAATAATAATAATAATAATAGTAATGATAATAATAGTAATAATAGTAATAGTAATAGGAATAATAATAGTAATAATAATAATAATAATAATATCAATATTAATAACAATAATAATAATAATAATAATAATAATAATATAAAGAATGGTAGTAATATTAAGCACTATAAGTATTAATAGTATTACTGTTATCATCATTATTAAAAGTAGGAGTAGTAGTAGTAAAATAACGATAACCATGATAATACTAGCATTAATAATACTATTAGTAATACTGATAAAAATAATAACAACCATAATAGTAATAATATTAATATGAATTACATTTATAATAATAATATTTTAAGAATACATCAGAACTGTCATTATCTCTATTACCTAACATAGTAGCACCAATCACAAAGGAAATACTTCTCTTCATACTTTAGTTGAAATGGAAATAGGCTTCTAAAAATGTTCATTAACATATATTAATTTAGTATTAGTTTTAGTGTGTGTGATCACAATTAAAATATTGATAGACTAATGAGGATACACTAGTGATGATAATGACAATACTATAAAACAATAACGATAATGATGATAATAATAGCTAAATAATAATAATAGTAATTATTATTGTTAATATTATCATTACAGCTACATCATAATAATAATGGTGCTAATAAAAGCTAAATAGCAGTAGCAGTAGTAATAAAAACAAGCAATAACTGTGGTAACAATAGTAATAATAATAGAAATAGCAATAATAATAATTACTATTCTGGTTATCTTGATGAAGATGATGAGGGTTACTATTATCATTATTAACAGCAACAACAATAATCATATTTACAACCAAAGTCAAATGGAATGCGACAGAACTGACGTATCCTTGAGCGGTGATTTATTGCGTATATGAATCATTTACACCGAGACCTTAAATGAGAAACAATAGCAAACTCGCAGGAAAGTAAACACAATCCCACGCGTGCTTCCCGTCGAAGGTGAGACCAAGTGGCATGACGCCTATGACGATTAGGCCAATGGGGTTTGGGATGGAAAGGGGGGAGGGGGGGGGTGTCAAACATTCTCCAATTTAACTTTAAGGCAAAGGATAACGTAGGAGGAACTACAAGAGAATCATTCACATCGCTTTAAACACGACGCCTCTCAAATAATGAATCGAGTTATCTCTCTCTTCCTACTTTTACCAAAACGTTATCAAGAAGTACGGACGAAGGAAATAGATGACGATGAAATTGATGACTCCCCCTCCCCTTTCCGCACAGGCATAATCCAAGCGCGACTCCCCCCCGCCACTTTGCGGAGCGTACGCGTATGATTGCATTCACTTCCGTGTGTTAACTTTTGCTTTACTTTATAGGTCTCAAGCGGTATTATGCTCTATCGAATGAAGGTATCATCATTCCTATTACAATCCTTGTTATTGTAGGCCTAATTATCAAGATTATAATTATCGTTATTAGTATTATTACAATCCTCATAATCACAATATCAATAATAATTATTATAATTATAATAAAAATTATTTTTATTATTATTATTATTATTAAACCATTAACAATAATAGTAGGAGTTGCTAACAACAAATGACATAACAATAATAATAGTAACAGTAACGATAATTAATAGCTGATATATAATAAATAATTCATAACAAATAAAAATTAATAAACAATATTAAGAATAAGAACACTAGCAGTAGCAGTCGGGGCTGTGGAGTCGGTACTCAAAACACCCGACCCTGACTCCTTGATTTCTTAAGTATTCGTATATTGTGTATTCATTTTGTATTCGACAAATTGAAAAAAAAAATTGGATTTCTCATTTTCTCGGGTGGAAATAAAGTGCGATATGTTAAAAAAGTGAGATATTTGCGATGTATGCTGGGGTCGGCGTCGCAGTCGGGACATTTTTACCGATTCCGACTCCGACTTCAGCAACACCAAATTCTTTCCGACTTATTATTATCATCACTATTATTATTATTATTATTATTATTATCATTATGATTATTATTATCATTATCATTATTATTATTATTATTATCATTATCCTTTTTATTATCATTATCCTTTTTATCATTTTTATTATCATTATTATTATCACCATTATCATTATCATTATTATCATTATCATTATTACTATTATTACTATTATGATTATTATTATTATTATTATTATTATTACTATTATCATTATTATTACTATTATCATTATTATTACTATTATCATTATTATTACTATTATCATTACTATTACTATTATCATTATTATTACTATTATCATTATTATTATCATTATTATTATTGTTATTACTTATTATCATTATTATTATTTATTATCTTTATTATTATTTATTATCATTACTATTATTTATTATCATTGTTATTATTCATTATCATTATTATTATTATCATAATTATCATCAATATTATTTGTAGTAGCAGTAGTAGTATAACATTACTATTATCATAACCACAATAATAATGATCATAAATAATATTAATAATGATAATAACACATAATAGTAATAAGACATAAATAAGAATTACAGTAACAACATAAGAATTATGAGAAACCGATGAGAGTCACTTCTATAGTACTAATTCTTACAATAATGATGGCAATGAAAGAAATATTGATAAATGATGTATTTCAATTTGTAGAAGTGATAACCTTTATGATAATAATGATAATCATACTAATGACAATGATAACGAGATGATGATGATGGAATAAAAATATAGTAATAAGACATAAATAAGAATTACAGTAACAACATAAGAATTATGAGAAACCGATGAGAGTCACTTCTACAGTACTAATGCTTACAATAATGATGGCAATGAAAGAAATATTGATAAATGATGCATTTCAATTTGTAAGGATATACTAGATGATGATGATGATGATGAAAAATTCCATGATAATAAAATAGTTTGGTGACAAAGGAGAAGTAATCACTACCTTTACCTTTTTTTGTAATAGAGATAGTAATGATTATAATAGAATAATCTATTTAGATATATTTAGTAGATTCAAATACAAGGATAAAATATAAAATACCTTATGTTCTAATACTGACTGCACAACTAAATATACATGTTGGTTAGGGATATTAAATCGTACAGGGAACATCAAATTCTACGTCTTCACTAATAATCTGCAGATATTCATAAGGTAGCTGTAAAAACATGCACTAATTATATACAAGATTAAAATTAATAATCAATATCTTGCAGAAACTTTCTAAACTAAAGACATGCTTCATCTCAACTTGGCCATGTTTCTTGAAATTTCATTAAACTCATTTATCTGAAAGTTTATAATCCAAACATTGTTAGTAAAATCATAAGTGAGTCATGTACGTGTCTGCATGCACGTGCAAATGTATTTTCAGATCACTTAACAAAAATGAGAGTACACGATATCTCAACAATGGAGGTTTCCCCCTTTTTATAATTATAATATTATATATATATATATATATATATATATATATATATATATATATATATAATATAAATATATATATATATAATATAAATATATATATATATATTCATATATATATATAATGTAAATATATATATATATATATATATATATAATGTAAATATATATATATATATATATATATATAATGTAAATATATATATATATATATATATATATATATATATATATATATATATAATGTAAATATATATATATATATATATATACATATATATATATATATAATGTAAATATATATATATATATATAATGTGTATATATATATATATATATATATATATATATATATATATATATATTATATAATATATATATATATATATATATATATATATATTTACATTATATATATATATATATATATATATATATATATATATTCATTACATATATATATATATATATATATATATATATATATATATATATATACATATATATATATATATATATATATATATATATATATACATATATATATATATATACATATATATATATATAATGTAAATATATATATATATATATAATGTATATATATATATATATATATATATATAATGTAAATATATATATATATATATATATATATATATATATATATATATATATAATGTATATATATATATATATATATATATATATAATGTGTATATATATATATATATATATAATGTATATATATATATATATATAATGTACATAATATATATAATTATATATATATATAATGTACATAGTATATATATATATATAATGTAAATATATATAATATATATATATAAATATATATATATATAATGTAAATATATATAATATATATATATATATATAATGTAAATATATATATATATATATATATATATATAATGTAATATATATATATATATATATATATATATATATATATATATAAAGAGGCTTATTGATTTGTGGGCCGGAATAGATTTGCACAATCACACAGGTGTCAACTGTAAACTCGAGAATCTGATTATTTATATACCAAATCTGAGCATTTGTTGTGAAATTGCAACATGGCAAAAAGTAATCTCTACCAGCTTCATAATTATTTTTCCCATCTTACAATACAATACTGCAAAATTAGACGTACTAAATCCAATTCAATACTACCAAAGTGTGAGATAACTAAGCATAACACCAAAATATTGAATATATTGTGCCAAAAACCTGATGATATAATTTTCATATAAAATCT